AGTTTAGAAAATAATGTTCCTTGCAGAGGAGGTTACCAGGGGTTGAATGCAAGATCTTTCTGCATTTTCTTTCTTTCTTTTTTTAAAATTTCACTAAGTTATCCCAGCTGGGTAATAACACGAGATTATAGACATGTATCATCACACCCACCTAGAAAATACAAAGTTTTAAAAGTGAAAATTACCAGTACTCAGAATTAGCCACCATCAGGAAATTTTAAGGCAACCTTTTTATCCAAAGAGAGAATCCTATCTCCATCTTAATTGTTGAAGTTAAAGTAAGTTCAGATCAAATCAGTAAATGAAATTCCCTACTCCCTTTAATGCTAGGGATTGAACCTATGACTTCCCACATTGCTAAGCAAGTACTTTACCACATCCTAGCCCCAATAGTATTTTTTTTTAAAATGATGGAAGAATCTAGTCCATAGTCATGTCTAAGGTTCAGTTGTGTTTTCAGTCTTCTTTAGTATACAGCATTGCTTAGTCTTCCTTTGAATTTCATGACCATGACATTCTTGAAGATTATAGATGATTTATTTGGTCCTCTATTTTGATTCTGATGTTTCCTCATTGTTAGATACATCTATGGTAGAGATGTCAGAGTGATGCTACATTTTTCCCATTGAATCTAGTTGGGATGCATACTTTCAATTTGTCTAATAATTAATGATGTTGGCTTTAATGTCCTGCTTGAGGTGGTGTTTGCCAGCTTTTCCTCTGTGGAAGTTAATTTCTTCTTTGTGATAAATACTTTTTTAAAGTACTATGAAACTATAATGTCTTATTCATCAGACCTTTGATTTATTCATTTATTTTGTATTTTGTATTTTTTTATTTTTTTGGCGGAACTGGGTATTGAACTCAGGCCCTTGCGCTTGCCAGGGAAGCGCTTACTCCACTGAGCCATTTCCCCGGCCCCTGTTTTGTATTTTTTGCAATGAGTTTAATCTTTTACTAATATTATTTTGATGTTCATGTTATCCTCAGTTTGACTAGGATGAGCTCCTTCAATGTAGCTTCTTTGTCTTTGGACATGTCACATTCCTTCTTTCAGCACTTTCTTGCTCCCAGAATGAGATGGTCTGAGCTTATCTTACATAGTCCATATGCTAGCCTTGGAATCAGCCCTTTCTTTTAGTGACTCTGGATACCAATGTAGTGTTTGCTATTGAGTTGTCTTTATTGCTGAGTCCTCTTTTATTAATTTTCCTAAATAATTACCAATTAACTCTTATTGTATTTCTTTTGACCTGTTCTCTCTTTTTGCCTCCTGGAACCCCAATTATATGTGTATTAGACCATTTGATAATGTCACATTTATCTTGGATGCTCTTTTGACTTTTTCCTCATCCCTTTTTCTTTTCTGTGTATAAGCTTGGTAATTTCTGTTGCTCTTTCTTCAAAGTATATAGGGTCCAATAATAAGATAGTTGAAGAAATTCTTAAACTGATGATGTGGTGCAGTTGTGTTCATATCCTGCCTTGTCTTTTACACAGGTGCTTATGGAAACTCTGGGTGCTCTGGGGGCACAGTGCCGATGGGCTGCCTGCAATATCTACTCCACTCTCAATGAAGTAGCTGCTGCTCTAGCAGAAAGTGGTAAGATCCTTTGCTTATTCTCTGTCTTTGACCAAGGTATGTCTCTGACAAATTCCATTAGCTCCATAAAAGTCTTTGAGGAAGGTTCACAGTAAAAGAGCTGCCTTGGTAAAAATGGATTCCTCTTCTTGATTAGTTTGTTTCCTTTCTGGGCTTTTCTTGTCAAACAATAGCTACCTATATCTAATACTCCATTATTTGTGCTCTTCTTTGACTTGCTAATAGAAAACCAGCAAACACTCCTACTGTCTAATGTAATATAGATTAGAGAATGTGTCATAGTTTTGTAGCCCAGCTGGTTTTCTCACAAGTAGTTCATTCTGGTTTAATGTTTGGTGTTTCTGCTTCAGCAGTAAAGAGGACTTAGAAGATTAATATTTGATCACTACATTCACTGATACTTGAAGGACAAAAGACAGAAATTTGAACTTTGCTAGCTTCCTGCCTTCACTCTCTGGCAGCAATATGTAGATTAGGGTAACAAACACCTACTTCAGAGCTCATAAAAAAATCACTAGAAACCCATATACAGGATGTATGTCTCTCCTGCAGCTAACATTCTTGACATTTCATTTGTTCTTTCATTTATTTTTACTTATTTTATAAAATGTTATTTATGTATGTATATAGAAAAACACATGCAAAAAAATTTTTTTTGAGATAGGGTCTCACTTTGTAGCTCATGCCTTGAATTTATGTGTAGCACAGGCTGGCCTCAGACTTGCAGGGATGCTCCTGCCCCAGCCTCCTACATGCTTGGGTTACAGGTGTGCACCACCACACACATATTAAATGTATACACCAATGAATTACACATATCCCCTCCCCCCCAACTCTTTGAGACAGGGTCTTCCTGTGTAGCCCAGGTTGGCTTTGATCTCACTATATAGTACAGGCTGGCCTTGGACTCACAGCACCCATCCTGCCTCAGCCTCCAGAACTGGGGTTACAGATGTGTGCCACCATGCCTACCATTTCTCTTTTTTTCAACAAATGCTTACAGACTTACTCTCAGAGAGAAAATAGACAATCTTTGCTTTGAGAAGCTTGTATTATGATAGAGAAGATAATATATTTGCATAGAAATAATGATAATAAAGAGACATATATGAGAAATCTCATGACAGATCTTAAATCTGAATACCATGCACAAATAATAGTCTTAGAACAGTTTAGATTTCTTGAATGCTCATTTTTATCTGGGTTAATCAGGCCTCAAAAGAAAGATGACACTTACCTGGACCAAGATGTGAAGTAATGTTTTAGCAGATGAAAAAGAATGTAAGCGCTTTCCTGGTGGAGAGAGTGGGGTGACAAGAGTATACAAATAAGAAAAATTAAAGTGTAGTTGGCAAATAGTAAAGATGCCAGGTTTGTTTTGTTTTGTTTTGTTTTGTGGAACTGGGGATTGAACTCAGGACCCTGCACTTGCCAGGCAAGCACTTACTCTACTGAGCTATCTCCCCAGGCCCAAAGATGCCTGTTTGACTGTATCAATAAGCACTTATTTCTGATTTCTTTGGGTCTTTTTTTTTTTCCCCTTGTGGTATCAGGGATCAAATTCAGGACCTTGTACTTGCCAGGCAGGCGCTTATGCTGCTGAGCTATCTCCCAAGCCGATCCTTTAGTCATATTTGTAGCAGCCATCATACTCTTGTCTATTTTGCTTATCTTCTTTTGGCTAAGGAAAACAGAATGAGCACCAGAGACAAAGAAATGGATAAAGGGTCTAAAGGGAATGCTAGTCAGTAAAGAAAGGAATACAGCAGAATGAGAGTTTGGACTTGGGGAAAAGTAGTACTTTCTTGCTAAAACTTGAGAATCAGGCCTTTTTTACAGCCTTAATATTTTTCTTTATTCATTTTTCACAGGATTTCCTGTCTTTGCCTGGAAAGGAGAGTCAGAAGACGATTTTTGGTGGTGCATTGATCGATGTGTGAATGTGGAAGGCTGGCAGCCAAACATGGTAGGCCAGATTTCTGCTAACACAGTTCTGTGGGGATGGGGACTGGGAGAGGATTTCCTAACAAAGAGGAAAGAAATGACTTCCTTTCTGGCTGATGTGCCTGGGTTTCCAGTAGAACTCAATGCTTTTGCTTAAGGAACCCCAAGAGTATTAAACCTCTTAAATTTCAAAGTACTTTAATTGTTGATGCTGGTATCAAAAGGGTTCATATTCATCAGTAACATGAAAATGCTGCTCAGGATTCACACATAGTTGCTGAAAGCAAAAGTAATGGATTTTCATTTCCTGCCACTACTTACTACACCTCTACCTCGCCCCCACAATTGGGCCCTGAGCTCCTGCGGTACTCACCCATCTCTCTAGCATCCGTAAACCAAATGCACAGTATATATGCAAAGAGCTTCCAAGTTCTTCTTTTTATTCACTACTAACCTTAAAAAATGCCTGGGCAAAGTTTGAGCCTTTTAAATTTTTGTTTCAGTTTTTTAAAAAATCAAGTCTTAAAGACAGATAACATATCAGATTCATAGAGTCAGAAAGCTTCCCAAAGTATGGGGCACTTTTTCTTCACAAATGTTTCTGTATGTTAGTGAAAGAAGGTAGAAAATCAACTGAGAAAAAGAAGCCATTGAATGCTGTGCAGAGCAGGCCTCACCTGGTACCTGGCAGAGCAGCAACCTTTTTCTAAATTCTCTGATCCAGGTCACATAGCATGAAGTTCTAGTTTGAGGAAGCTGGGTTAAAGCTTTCATATCCTAGAGGGAGATAACAGTGGTTCTAAGATGAGTCAGCTCATTCCAACAATTTTAAAGTAACAGGAGAAAGCCTAACTGACAGATACTAAAAAAGATATACCAGAGGAGTCCTCCTGGGAGTAAAACACTAAGTTTATAGTCATGAGCACAGGGAGTATATGCAATTGTATTCAAAGAGCTTTTTTGTTTTGCTGTGGGTTTTTTTTTTCACGTGGAGTGGAGGGGGAGGTGGTGAGATAAGATCTTGCTGTGTGGTGCAGGCTGATCTTGAACTTGCCTGTATAGCCTAGGCCAGCAATGAATTAATGGTGATCCTCCTGCCTCAGTCTCCAGGGTGCTGGGATTACAGGTGCGCATCATCACACCCAGCTTACCCAGAAAGCTTTTATAAACTATAGTGCTAATACAAACTGCTTGAAAGTTTAGTGAAAAAAATTAGACAAGGATAAAAAGTTATATCCCAGAAAGTGGGATCCATACCTCTCTGGATCCTGTCAAGATGTAATGCTTTTCCTTGCCATCTAACCTCAGGACGATTTCCTGATGACCAGAATTTTCTGCAATAGCATTGTGTGGGAGAACTCCATTAATTTCATAAGTATTAGAAAGAGTAACTACCTTCCTGTATTTCATGGCTCTGCTAAAAGAAAAAGTAGACAAAAATAGTGGGACATACCACACAGTTTCCATTTATTTAGTGCATTGTATCCCTGACTTTTCCTGTGGCCAGGGATTGGAGAATCAAATGGAAACTCCATGGGATTCCATATGTGCAAAAAAAGGAAAGAGAAACTTTGAAAATATTTTGGATTTATTAGGGCATTGGCTGTGAGGGTTTCTGCTTGTACTATGGAGTGAGCATAAGAGTTTTAATGAGAACCTGTCTGGATTTCTGTTCTCAGGCAAGATTTGACTCACTCAGAACAAAATGCATTAATAGCAGGAACATAAGTGAAAAAGAAGTTAGTTAGTAGACACAAAGTTAGGGTTGTGTACTGTGGGGTCCACAGTGGCAATTGGGCCATGATAGTTGTGATGGAACTGCAAGCTGAAGGCATGCCAGCAGAGGGCAGCTCAATCCTATGAGGACCTTCCAGACAGATGGGTACAGCAGTGTGCAAATTTCTGCTGAATGCCTCTAACAGCGCAGTGGAGAGCTAGAGTGCCACAGCCTAGTGCCTATAGTATACTAAACTGTTCTTCTTTAGCTTATTTATAATTCAGAAACTTTATCTACTGATGAAAGCTCCAGTGGGCACAGCATTGTGTTTATCTTTAATTCCAACCTGAAATAGTGATGAGCTGTTCAGAGGCATGCTTACACACCTACATGCTGCACGGTTCCCTGGTTATTTTTAATTTAGTTTATACAGAGTGTGAGGCTGTGCTCAGCAAAACCCCACAGTGCTTCCTGATATGTTGAGGGGGAGAATGCCTCTACTTTGGGAGAAGTAAAGGATTGCTGAATATAGTTTTATAAGCCTTTTTTTTTTTTTTTTTTTTTTTTGAGGAGACTAATTATTTGTTCTTTTCCTTAAACTAAGCTTCTACTGAATATGTTGAAAGTCTTGAGTTTAACCCACAGAGATTAACTATATCAAGCTCAGGTTTTCTGAAGATCTACAGCATATGCAAGAACTGCTGGTCTAAAAAACCACTTAAGTCATCAATCCATAAGAAAACAAAATCGATGGGAAAATCCTCATTAAATGTAAATTTGTGCATAGATGTGTCATAAGGGTCATTTGGTCTTGAGCTTTATAATTGACCTTTTGCTACTTGTTGTTTACTTATAACTAATCATTAGGTATTTCTTGGTTACTTTTTTTTCCTTGCTGGGACAAAATACCAAAATTAAGGAAGGAAAGGTTTATTTAGCTGATAGTTTGTGGAGGTTTCAGACCATACTCACTTGGCTCTAAGGCAGAGTGACACAAGGCACAGGGCAGCAGTTCATGGCAGCAGAAAACAGGAAAACAGTAAGAGAAAAATGGAGGAATGGTAGCGAGCAAGCCTCTTTCCCTCCCTTTACTGCATTCAGGCTATCTGCCCCATAGCATGTGTAGCCCTCACACACATAATCCTAGCATTGGATCACGAATCAATCCCAGACTCTAGAAGCCTGCTCTATGACTGCATGAGGCTTTCCAGGACATCTAGACACAAACCCTAACAACGTATTTGGTATAATACTGTATTAACTCTGGCTTTAGGTTACTTTGTATAACTATTTAGGAAGTTTAAAATACCCAGGCCGGGGAGATAGCTCAGCAGTCTAAGCACCTGCCTGGCAAACACAAGGACTCAGTTTCAATCCCCAGTACCCGCATGCCATGCCAGCCCCACACCAAGCTGGCCACTGAAACCAAGCGCCATGGCACATACCTGTAATCCCTGTGCTGGGAAGGCTGATAACAGGAGGATCACCATGAGTCCAAGATGCATAGCAAGATCCTTTACCAAGTACATAAATAAATAAAAAGTTAAAAAAAGAAATACCTGTAGATTAGTAATTAGAAATTTGGATATAAGACCCAGAGAAGCACTAACGCCTTGAACCCTCCAGCAGAATAAACGACATTACTGATGCTTACCTTTTGCAGATCTTGGATGATGGAGGGGATCTTACTCACTGGATTTATAAAAAGTATCCTAACATGTTTAAGAAAATCAAAGGCATAGTGGAAGAGAGTGTTACTGGAGTCCATAGGTAAGATTTTACATGGGCATAACTGGCTTCATGCAGGTGAAACATACTCTTGAAATCACACACTAGTAGGGCACGTTGTGTTAAAGATTGGACTCTGCTATTAGCCAACCTAATCTGTACACTTGCTTTTTAAATTAATAACACAAGTAACAAAATAGTGAGAGACAGGCAGGTGGGGGAACAAGTGGTGTCCTTATGTTTTCTAATCATTGTAATACAGTGGCTGTTTGGTTTTTTTGGATTAATTCATCTTCCAACAACTATTTATTGAACTTCTGCAGCAGTGGTGGTGAACCCATAGCCACTGCTGCATGCCACAGTAGGACAGTTTTATCATTGAAAGCTCTAAAGTTTTGCTGTCACTGCTCTACAGTAAGCCAAGAATTGCTCTAGGGGTAGGGATCTAGAAATGGACAAAAATCTGTGCCCTCACAGAGTATATATATATATATATATATATATATATATGCATGCTTATATAAAGAATAAGGACATAGGGTTCTGTTTGCAAATGAGCAGTAATTTTCTGAGTAAAATTGGAATAATTTTTGTTTAATTTTTACCCATAAGGAAAAGTATGAAATAAATTTTTAGGTAAGTAAAATTTAAATTAGCCACTATAATTGCTTGAGTGTATTATGGTCTCTTAATATACAAAACTATAGGGGTCGGGGAGATAGCTCAGTAGAATAAGCACTTGCCTGGCAAGCACAGGATCCTGAGTTCAATCCCTGGTTCCGC